AATTCAAACCAGTCTTTTACAAAGACATGACAATTATATACAGTATATGATATTAGGTTTGAAGGTATCCGACTGATATTTAGATATGACTTTTGATATGTTTTTAAAGGGTGTATGTATATGTTTAATGTATTTTGGCTTTTAAACAATAAAATAAATTAGTAAGTCAATGATATCTCTCGGTATTAGATTTTTCATTTTTGGATATATGAATCAACTAAGATGACTGAATATACAATCTCTGCATGCATACAATCTCCTTTAGGGTTGAGGTGTTGAGCAAAATCCACTCCTTTTGTACCAAAGTTTTTTTGGAGAGACATTGATGGTTGGCGGCATTGTCTGGGTTTCTTCTCAGTTTGAAATACCACCCTGGCATTAGGGATGTTTGGTGCTCTGTCAAGAAGACCCTATGACTCACAGATGCTTAATCCCTTCCCGCTGGTGCCTCCCGGCCCTTTAAGAGTTTCAGATGCCGGGGAGGCGGGGTGGGTGGGGCGTGGTTTAGGGATCATGTGACTCGTCGTCACGGTGGTCACATGATCGGGAAAGGTCCCGATCGAAAGAGCGGACCGGGACCTTTCCGTGAGTACCACACGTGTGCTGGGAGCGCGCAGGGCATGCGTTCTCAGCACGTATGTTTTTTGTTTCATGAACGCAAATGTGCGGCCGCTCGGCGTCTAGGCCCAGACACCAGGAGACTGCACATTTGTGTGCGGCCGGCGTAAAGGGGTTAAGGAAGAGTGAACTCAATTGAATTCAGAAGGAGTCCAAGCAGAGCCAGTGGGGCAACAGGAATCAAAGTCTTCAGATTCACCACTGCTGGCATCCTCAAGCTCTACTGCAAATTGACCCAGGTGAGGAAAGAGTCTGCCTACTCTCTCCAAGAAAGATTTAATAAAAGATCAACCTGAATATCCTCTCTGCTGTTTGTCTTTCAAAGACTTTGAGAGTCTTCCGAAAGGGGATTGACTGGTCAACAAAGAGTGGGATCATTTACAGTTGCTGAAAGGGGTGGTCTACTGAAGGGAGACCTCGGATGAGCATGAAGAAAGATGGCACCTGTTCCTCCTTGAGAAACATAGGGGTACAGTGCTGAATGCAATACATGATAAACATGGACATTTGGGACCTGACAGAATGTTCCAGTTAGACATTGTTTCAACTGGTTGTATATGTGGATTGAAGTCGAGAGCTGCTGTCACTCCTGTCTCTGCTGCACCTGGAGGAAGACTCTGGCCTTCAGAACTACCTCAGTGGGCCATCTCCAGAGGCAAGGTCCCTTGTATTTGGTGTGCATTGATTTCTTGAGTCTAGAACCCGACACGCGTGGCCAAAGGAATGTACTGGTAGTGACTGGTGATTTCACTCGTGCCCAAGCTTTTCCAATGAGAGACCAACAAGCTGCTACAGTTGCCAGACTATTAGTGGAGAAGTTCTTTGTTTATCATGGATTCCCATAGAGATTCCATTCTGACCAAGGAAGAGATTTTGGGAGCAGGCTCATTAAACAACTGTTTTAAGAAGTATAAAATGACACCTTGAACGAAGGGGAGGAGGAAAAAGACCATTTGAGTGTAGTATAGGACAAAATGCATTTATTGACACATATTAAGCAATTCACATGGATAAAGTAAAAAATGCTCATCAACATGTGAAACAGTGCTCTGCATTATCCAGCACCAGTCCCGCTAGGTAGATGCGCCGCAGACACACTGAGCCAACTGCACTGGAGGTACCCAGAACTTCCTGTTCGGCATGGAATGCACAACGATGTGGCAAATGTGATGTCACTCCTGAATACTGATGCAATGGATGTGGCCACATGTTACAGAAGTATGGCTAGGTGTTGCTGTCCACCAGCTCTCTCCTGCCCGTAAGTACCACTTCCAAGATGGAGCAAGACATGGTTTGAAGAAGGAGCACACATGCTCTGTAATTTATAGCTGCATCAGTATCCAGGAGTGACGTCACATCCGCCCCATTGCTGTGCTTTCCACCCCAAACAGGAAGTTTAGGGAGCCTCCAGTGCAACCAACTCAACGTGTCTGCAGTGCATCCTCTTAGCAGGGCTGTTACTGGATAATGCAGAGCTGTGTTTCACTTGCTGAAGAGTGTTGTTTACTCTATCCATGTGAGTTGCTTAATATGTGTCAATAAATGTGTCCTATACTACACTTAGATGGCGCTTTTCCTACTCCTCTTTGTTAATGTTCTGCAGAATTGCTTCTGACTCTTAAGAACAAGCAACCACTGATGGCAATTGGACTCCCATATATGGACTAAAAGTGCAGATTTATTATTTTCTTGCTATGTGGATTTTATATATTACGATGAACTCATATTTCCTTAGTGTGTCAATCTTCTCTCCACAACCAAGAGATTTAATTTTTACCCACCTTGACATGCTAGGGACCCTTCCTTCAGAAAGAAAACATCATTATAGCATACACATCTCCGCTGTGGCAGAGTAGTGTCCCATTAGCAGGAAAGGGAAGCAGAAAAGGGAAACCAGAGTCACCCGAGCATGAACAAGAAGATTCTATAATGTCTGAACCCAGGGAATAGAGGATCAAGAAAATGGTATGATCCCCACACAGACTTACATATGGCTCGCAGGGCAACAGTTCAGAATATATTGTCTCAACTATGCATTTGTATGATGATTCAGTGCTCCTCATAACAGCACCAAAGACTTGTGCCCCTTGCTTCACTCCTGACACACCTTGGTAGCAGCCTCCATTGATGTGTTTGTAGGAAATGTCATAAAATCAGTTTAGTTTCTAGAAAACTTATTCTGAACTTACACTTAGTTCCTTGTGGCCTTTCCCCTCTCTGGAGTATCAAAGATTCTTTGGTGGGGGGAGTATGTAATCTGGACTGTAGCTGATAACTACTACAGAACGTCTTCCTTTGTTGGCTGCTGTATTATTCTTCTGCAGTGTGGACAGGATTCTGTTAAATATTAATTAGTGCAGCAGCCATCTTTAAGAAGTTGATTTTGCAATGCTTGTCCATGGAGTGTCTCCAGTACAGGGCACAGCCATCTTGACTGTGTCTGGCTCGAGCTTGAGTGCAGGGTCATCTTAATAGCATAATGGGCCCCTGCTCAAAGTAATGCACTGGTGCCCTTACAAGCCTGTATATGCCATCATAACCTTTGATGCTGTACCTCATGAAATGGCAAAAAAATTGGCAACTTCAGTCACAGAGGCAGCAGCTAAGCAGGCACCAACAATTTGCCCTCTTTGAAACTCAGTCAAACAAAAGAGTCCGTGCTGCAACTTCTCCACAACCATGACATGATTGTGGAAGGGGTGATGCAGTATTTAAGGCAACATATCACCTTCTTACCACCTGTCAAATATCTCTGAAAAGCAATCCATGTGTGCATTGCTTTTCAGAGGAGTGACAGTCATTTGCACTCAGAGACTCAGAGTAGCAGAGGTGAGAGACATACATTATGTGTGCACCTGTGAAGTTGAGGGGGGGTTCAAACATAGAACAAAATTAAATAGGGATATCTTTTGAATTGCACTTGCATGAAATTACTTGAAGCAATTCAGCCGAAGCATTGGAAAATAATTTTGCAGCCTCTACTGTCCCCAAAGCCTGCAGTTGCACACATACACACCTATGTAGCACCATGCTGTGTGTGTGTGAGTGTCTGGGCACATCATGGAGTGGGGCTGCTAGCAAAGACATAGCAGAGGCTACTTTACAAGGGCACTTCTCACTTCGCACCCATGCAGCTGTTCACTGTGAATCCTGTCTCTCAAAATCTCATTCGCAGGATTTGTGTGAGCAGGGGCGGACTGACCATTTGGAAACTCGGGCACTGCCCGAGGGCCCGAGGTCAGTAGGGGGCCCCATGAGATGCCCCTGGTACCTTTTTCATAGGCTTTTTTGAGTTTGGGCAAGGACACAGGGGCCCCATGATCCCTTATTGCCCGGGGGCCCCATGAGTTGTCAGTCCGCCCCTGTGTGTGAGAGAGATATGGAATGACAGGATTGGCACAGCCAAAGACAGCACAGCTCACTGTGCACCAGACCAGCTCCCAGCCACAGAGTCCCGACTGGGCGGAGTCTGGAGGCAGAGCTGCTGACAACATTTGTTATTGGTCATAGACACAGCCACTCAGGGAGGCTCAGAACAGGTGGTGAAAGCCCAGCTGGCAGGCAAGATGCCGCCATCCACCAGGCTGCCGGTGCCCACAGGCCACTCAGCCAAACTCCAGCACCGAGCCCCGCTGATAGTTCTAGCTTGTCCGGCCAGCTGGCAGGTGGAATAGAAAACCAGTGTCTTTATTCAACCTTATAAAATATGTAAATAGAAACTATATGTAACTATGTACTACCTGTATCCAGCATGTTCTACTCTTTACATGTTTGCCTCTTCATTCCTAGCTTGAGCCTACTTTGCCTTGACACCCATCCACCTCAATCTCCCTGCTGCCATTTGTATATAATTAAGTTAGTTAGTTTAGCTAGCTTTTCTGTAAATTGCTTATAGGTTGTTGATGTTTATGCTTTTTATTCCTTGTTCCTGTGTGTTTTATGATAACTGTCTTGTGTTCACTTTAAAGTTGTAGTTTGGCTTCTCTGGTGTAGTCACATATCTGGTAAGACTAGGCAACAGGATTCAAGCATTCGGTATCCTAACATCATCCCTGATGCCACAGAAAAAATAGACACCTTAATAGCCATCATGTCCAGTAACCAACACCATCGGTAACTGTTAGGGGATACACTTCATTATCCACAGCCACCTGAAGTCTTTGCTAGCCACTTCAACAGTACCTTCCAGGTGCAAAATGTTGCATATTGCCAATTAGGGTTTCTACTGAAGAACACATTTTTAATACATTTTTACCAAGAAAATATTGCCTGCCATGAAAAAATGTTTATCCTAACATCAAAAAAGACCTTATAGAGCAGGGGTATTGAATTAAAATTCAAGGAGGTCCGGTCACTAAAATTTTCTTTTGGCTGAGGTCCGAATACGGTGTGCCCATCAGTGTGCCCCCTTACATTAGGTGTCGCCATCAGAGTGCAACTTTACATCATGTATTCCCATCACATCAGGTGTGCCCATCAGAGTGCTCCGTTACATCAGTTGTCCCCATCAGAGTGCCCCTTTACATCAGGTATCCCCATCACAGTGCCACCTTACATCAGGTATTCCCATCAGAGTGCCCACTTACACTCAAAGTATCCCTTTCCATCATATTCCCCATCAGAGTGCCCCTTTCCATCACATGTGCCAGTCAGACTGCCCCTTTCCATCACATGTGCCCATCAGAGTGCCCCTTCCCACAGTATGTGCCCATTTGTGCCCCCTTAACATAACATGTGCCCATCAGAGTGCTCCTTAACATAAAATGTGCCCGTCAGAGTGCCCCTTAACATAAAATGTGCCCGTCAGAGTGCCCCTTAACATAAAATGGGCCCGTCAGAGTGCCCCTTAACATAAAGTGTGCCCATCAGAGTGCCCCCTAACATAAAATAAGGGGCATGCTGATGGGCACATTTATATATAGGGGCACTCTGATGAGTACATTTATATTACGGGGCACTCTGAAGGGTACATGTTATGTTAGGGGGGCACAAATGGGTACATATTGTGGAAAGGGGCACTCTGATGGGCACATGTGATGGAAAGGGGCACTCTGATGGGGAATATAATGTAAAGGGGCACTCTGATGGGGAAATATGATAGAAAGGGGTACTTTGAGTGTAAGGGGGGTGCTCTGTCATTGCGTGCTGGCAGTCCAGAAGGGAGTGCTGCTGGGGCTGTTCTCTGCCATTTTAGTGACCACTCTTATAATAATTGACAGACTCTCTAAGTAGTCCCCCCCCATTTGCTGCTCACCTTTGCCTTGCTCCTCAATTGCTCTGTCCTCTGTAAGAGCCCTTGGAAATGCCCAATGTCTTGGAAATTCGCTTTAACGAATTTCTCCTTACCGTGAGTACTCGCAGTTGGATGCGCAGAAATCCCCTATAAAGCTGTGCGAATCTCACTTACCACGACTGCAGCTAAACTACACGAATCCTGCCCATCCAACTGGGTTAGCTCTGTTGAGATGTGGGGAATGGAGCTCCCTATACCTGGAAAAGATCACACGACACTCTCAGGTTGCTGTTGGAATTCACATAGAGGAAGTTTTCATTCTCACCCTCTGGTTTTATTACAAACACACATGCCCCCCACATGAATAAGGTCAATCCCCTCCCACAGAACAATGCAATGGGGAGTGCCTATACACAGGATGTACATTCCGATTGGAGCATAGCCTTTACTTTTATCTATCACTGGTCCACCCCCCATGAGCCCTCTGAGGTCAGCAGACTTCCTCCCCTTCCACCCATGAGCCCTCTGAGGTCAGCAGACTTCCTCCCCTTCCCCCCATGAGCCCTCTATGGAGAGCATATTTCCTGTCCCAGCTCCTAGCAGTATGTTCATTCTCTGTACAAGCATCCCCCAGGCTAAACACCAGTCTGTACCTGGATGGGCCCGATACGATCTTTATTAAAACACATCCATCCAGATACAGTTTCAGGTCGGTAATGGGTTGTAAGATATACATGAGCCTACACGCGGAGTTCACACCGCTTGGCGCCTTGCGTTATGAAGTCCATGTGGTACTATGCTGCTGATATGTGGATACAGGCCCGCGGCCTACCGCCGGCGGCATTCGCATCGAATGCCGTGGTGGTATACACGCCGGTCTATAAGCGCAGATCTGCCATCTCATCCATTACCGAGCTGAGTACTGTAATACATACATTGTACATGCGCATGGCCCAATTGCAGCCTTCAGAGCTTTAATTAAGCCACACGAGAGACATATGAATAACACTCATATATGACACATTTAAAGTTCAACCAACAATACATAATTTCCATGACACCAATACTTCCAGGTATGGGGAAGTATGTGACCTCCTCCCATAATGCAGTGCTTGGGCCTCAGAAGCTAATTGCCAAGCCTGAGCAATGTCATATGAGGAGGACAACATCGCCAACCCTGTGTAAGTCCCAACGCTGTCCACTGTGGAACCTGTATGCAGCGGGGAGAGATGCAATCATTTGGAAGGTCTGGGCTAGTAGGAGACTCTGTGACCTGGCCTTGAATGGGCATGTTGACAAACTCTCTTTAAATATCCAGAAAACGTATATTTATAATTTTTTTTGTAATTCACGTGGTGAAGTTTTGCCTCAACCGTGCCAGATCAGCAATGTTTTCACTACTTGTCCGAATCAAACAACGCAAGAAAAATGTGTTTCCCTAATACGTGACGGATAGAACACATTATAATGTGTTAAAAGAACCTTCAAATAAATTACAGACATAATTTTTATCCAACAAAATTTGTCATTTTAATAAAAGATGATGAGACAGAGCATTGCATGTATGACTAAGACATCACAAGATCAAGTGTTATTGCTACAATATGTGGGACAGAATGTTTTAATTTGGATCATTTCTTAGGAAAACAACACAGAAGGAAAAAAGAGCACTCATGTATTATAATCTATTCCTTAACACTGATCAGAAATTCCTGTTAGGCTTGTGTGTTTTTTTTTTTCTTCCTTTATAATTGTTTAACCAGGAAGCATGATAATGTGTCATTGGTACTTTTAAACCATGACATTGCTACATAAATTAACAATGAGCCTGAAACAGATTATATTTGCTGTACAGATTAACCTGCGTTCTTTAGTCATACAATTATTGGCACGGTAACTTCATTATTTCTCAACATAGGGTTGGACTAGTAAAATAAGAAATGACATCACATCTTAAATCACACACCCATATCTTCTCACACTGAACAAAGAGTCGGTACTGTGCTGCAGAGTCTCTGGAGTCGGCTGCAATTGTAAGTTACTTTGTGAAGCATTGCTTTTTATTAAATGATAAAATTGTTTATCAGATATTCTTATTAAGTCATGTTGCATCTCCCTTGCTTTGTGTCCATCCTAACCTGTGATGAACCAAGTTCCTTGCTGATTTTTTAACTGAACTGTTTCTAAATGTCTTGAACACATTTCTAGTATTATATGTTGCAAAGTACATTCTGGTGTGCGTCAATTTATCTAAACTACCATTAAGAAATGACTGTTTTATGTTAAAATGCTAAAAATACTCCCATGAGGGTGTATTCTACATAAGACCCACAGGGGCCCCCCATGATCCCCTATTGCCCGGTGGCCCCATGAGTTGTCAGTCTGCCCCTGGACACGTTATTTCTAAAAACTTTAAACTACTATTACGAGTTTGCATAACAGGCATCTCTTAAGCAACTGCTAAAATTTACATTAATAAATACATTTTACTTGGGGCACTAATTGTATTGCTTGTCCAGTAATACAGACCGAGGTGAGAATGTTATGTTGGCAAATATATTACAACAAAAGAAAAATTCCCAGCCAGCTTGCAAACAAACCAAATTAACCTGTCTAACAGTATGCATTAAAAACGGGTTTAGTTAACATACATTTGCAAATACATGCATAAGCTACAGAGCCTCGTCACCCCAGTATTCTGCAGTTCCTAACTCTCCAATTTTAAGAGCCCCCATAGTAAAGGCACATGTATTTAATGGATAGACCAAGGGCAGATGGACCTGAGGGAGCCCACCCCTCCTTAAAAGTACAGGAGTGCACTGGACACCCAGCATGTAGCAGAATGGCAGCTAAGGTGTCCAGTGCGCCCCCTCGACCAACAATTCAACAGTACAAAAAAGTGGCCACTGCCCCAGTCTGTAACTGGCCTTCACAGAAAGGAGCCCATGGAAGGGCGATGCATGTCAAATAACAAAAAATAAAAATTAGTTAGAGCTGGGAATCTTCCATGTGCTCCTTGCTGTGAAAGCCAGTTATAGACTGGGGCAGAGGCCATTTTTTGTACTGTTGAATTGTTGGTCAAGGGGGCGCACTGGACACCTTGGCTGCCATTCTGCTACATGGTGGATGTCCAGTGCGCTCCTGTACCTCTAAGGAGGGGTGGGCTCCCTTAGGTCCATATGCCCTTGGTCTATCCATTAAATACATAAGCGTCTACTATGGGGGCTCTTAAAATTGGAGAGTTAGGAACTACAGAATACTGGGGTGCAGTGATGAGGATCTGTAGCTTATGCATGTATGTTTGCATGTATTTGCAAATGTGTGCTAACTAAACCCGTTTTTAACGAATACTGTTAGACAGGTTAATTTGGTTTGTTTGCAAGCTGGCTGGCAAGTTAGAGCTGGGAATTTTTCTTTTTTGTTGTTTAACCTCTGTATTGTGTCCTGCAAAGATCCCGTACACCCTGAGGCAGGTCTCAGGTCTCCTGTTACCTCTGATTTTGACTCTATTGCTATCTGTGGATTAAAGAACATGCCCCCATGTTAAAAAGATAAGGGGAAGATGTGGTGTTCAGTAGTGCTAACAAACTCTCTGTATTGGGGTGGAAATGCTGCCATTCATGAACACAGTATGGTGAGTGAGTGATGTGCTCCTAGGTCAGAGAGCATGTTACTGGAAGGATCACTGGATGAAAATAAAGGGAAAAAGCCTGAATAAAGAAAACTATTGCACCCACCATAAACTGCAACAGATTATATTTTTGTTCTTGGGTATAGATATGCTTTAATGTTGTAATCAGGAATTAACTTGATTGCTATAGGTTACTGTAATTAGCTACATAGTTTCTAAGGTAGAAAAAAAGACACTGGTCCATCCAGTTCAACCTCTGTGTGTGCATGCATGTGTGATTTGTATTCTATAACAATTCAAATAGCATCCCTGTATATTCTGCTTCCAGTAATCACTTATCCATGTTACTAAAGAAAATTTTCAAATCTGTGGATTTAAAAGACATTTTTTGGTCATTCACCACAGAAGTAACAACTACCAGACACAAACATTTTGTGATTTAGTTTTGTTAATTCCAGTTAAAAGAGAAGGTATACTCACCTAGCTTGAAGCATAGACCTGATGCTGCATCTGTCCCCCTCCACCTCTAAGACCAAGAACTGAGTGATCAAAGACCACTAATATCTCAAGTTCTTGGTCTTCAGTGAGCAGAGAGCCTGTGACTGTCAATCACTGTCTCTCTCTTCTGCCCCTCCAGGTCTCACTTGAGCACCAGATGTGGAGGGGGCGGGAGCTGCTGGCTCCAGACCTCAGGGGCACTCGAAGAGGCCGAGCAAGCTGCCAGTCAGGCATCTGGGTAAATCCCAACATTACAGTCAGAATCCCTGCAGAGCCTGGACCAGCTTAGTGACGTCAGCCAACAGCAGACTTTAGCCCGCTGTCGGCTGAATACAGGTCACAGAAGTGCAGAATGAAGTGCACTCCTGTGATGCATAGGAGAAGTATGGCCAAAGTAGCTTTGGCCATACTTCTCCTTTAAAAAAGGTTAT